TCTTGCCAACACCATCATCTAAGAACATATCCAGTATCTAATTTACTGACATACAACACTACCTAACATCACATCAAACCAAGGGACTCACATTGTGGCAAAGGAGGTGTGAAAATGGGCCCATGATCATAGGATCCTACCATATATTGAATCACTTAGAAGCAGCCAGTCTAACAGTATGTTGGAATGATCTCTTACAGATACAGCTATGGCACCAGCTTAGAAGTGATACCTAAGGTTTGAAGTTCTGTCCCTCAAAATGTGGTACATATTGTGAACGAAGAGCATATCTGTGGTTCTTGGTAGTTGCGAGGTAAAATAATTGGATCCAAAAACTAAGGAGAAGAAGTAAGAGCAGCCCCTCTCACCACCATTCCAAATGACCCATTTGAGAAATGTGTGCTGCCACTTTAGATTCTGCTAGACTAGAGGTTATGGCTCCAAGGAGTGGGATCCTTCCACTAGGGGACACAAGATTCTACTAAATATACAGCAGCCACTTGGTCATTTAGGACTTCCATTCCAGCAGTTCAACAGGCAAGATTAATATATCAGTTTGAGTAATTGACCCTGATTATCTGAAGAGTTGGGGTTGCTGCTGCACAATAGGGGCTGGAAGTTATGGCCTCCTTTGCTACAGTGGGTTACCCCTTGAAGCTTGCTAGTGATTCCAGTAAATAGGCAACTACAGCAACCACAGCCCAACAAGGGCAAAATGACCAGAGGTTCTGATCCCTCAGAAATGAAGGTCTGGGTTACCCCACTGGACATATACCCTAGACCAGCTAGCCAAGGTGATAGAGAATGCAGAATGGACAATAGAGGAGGGAGATGATAAATATAGTTGCAGTCTCTGGACTGCTACAGCAAAGGGGAGGGATGTAGATTGTCCTATGAATGTTCATGTGGCAAGTCTATTTTTTTTAATTGTCGCTAACTGCCACCTTGAAGCATCAATGATAGAATAAAGTAAATTTACTGTGGGGCACTTAGCAGGGAAAAGGGTGGGCTGTAGCAGTCTTTGTCAGCACCTCACCCACATCCCCTCTTACTACATCAGGGGTCAGTGGCCCAACTTCCTTCTGCCAGCACATGCGCTTTTTTGCCCGGGAGCTTTCTCTGGCCTCCAGGCCCCATATCAGGACAGAAGAGGTAGGGCTTTGCACATCCATCAGCCTAGCTCCCTCAAAAGGGATAACACGGAAGCATTCTACACTAGCCCTTAGAGTGTCCCAGGCAGCTTTAACACCATCACCCTCTGTGCTAGCTGGATCGGTAACATGCTCTGGTTGGGCTATCTTCCCTTCCTGGTCTCACTTCTCCACTCCCCTTGTTGGTGTTTCCTGCACCTTCACATCCCTGTTTCCAAGTTTGATTTTGCCAGAACCATCCCTAAGATAGTCACCTTCAGAGGCTGCTAGGAAACCAACTTGTTACTTTTAAAAGCTAGAAACAGGGAAAAAGAAACAAGTACTTATCCTGCCTCATCTACATGAAATTGTCTTACCAAATATTTGACAAGAAAAATAAATCCTTCATGGAAGTTCTCCAGCTAACAAGTAAAGGAAAAAAGGTAGAATTAAAATATCATCATTTGCAACTACCAAATAATTATTGAATCTAGGCAATAATTATTGACTTCAAATCTTGAAGCAAAGGGACAACTGAACATCATGACATATCTCTTGCTGCAAGCACACCGCACCACCTGTGAGATAGTCTGGTCCCCCAGAATTCAATGCTGAATCTGAATCAAACATCTAGACCTAACTACCAATTTACAGAAAATGTAAGAAACAATGTTAAACCCTCCTCCAGGATTATCAGCAAAATCCAAACTGTGAGAGCTGTATAGAGTAAACCAACCTATTTCTTCTACTAAAAACAACTGCAAGAAAGAAAAAGGAGAGGAAAATCAATAGGCTTAAGAGACATATTAGCTGATTGCAATGATGAACCTTTTGGACCATCCATAAAGGTGAGAGGTGAGAGGAATTGGGAAGAAAAGGAGAGAGGAGCAGAACAGAGGGAGAGAGACAAGATCTATGTCCTGTTTTCAAAAAGCTTGTCTCTTAAAGAAAAAGCTGTGTATTCAATGAGGTTTACCTACTAGTTAACTAGATGCTCAGCAGACTTTCTTCCCATTAGAGAGGGGAAAAAATAGATGAGAAGCCTCAGTGGAGTGGGAGACAGCTTTGAAAATGAGAACGTAAACTTAAAGAGCATTTGGTATTCTGTTTTTAAGTATGTCGAACTTGATTCTAGAACCCCTGGAGCTTATAAAAGTTGGGAGGGAAAAGGAGAAGCGGTGTTTAAACCCTTCATTATTAAAACCTTCTTGTCTTTGCCCTTTCCTCCGCTTTCCTTCTTCCTTCCTTGTTACAGAGAAAAGAGACAATTTATCCCATTTTCTGTGACTAAGTACTCATTCATCTCTGCAGAAACAGCACCTGTGCCCCACTGAACCTCATGGAGTTGAGACTTGAGGACCTCTTTTGACATCAGAGAGCTTGAATGGAAAGGTTTTCAGCATGCTTATTTAAGGAGTAGCTTCTCTAAGTTGCAGGCTTGCTTTTGAAAGAAAGAAAGGAGACTCAATTAGTTAGCATAAATACTTGCTTCAGCATTTCACCCATTTATTCTACCTGAGCAGGTGCACAGTCCTTTAATCATAACTGTCAAGAAAGGAAAGCTCGCAATTTCCGTCATTTAAAAAGAAAGAAAGATGAAATAGAGGAGAGGGGAGAATGTGACAAATGAATGCATACACTGAAAGACTGGGGTCAGGGAGAGGTGGGCGGAGGGGAGAGAGAAGGAAAAGAATGAACACATGATGTTATATTTTTCTCTGGGGTTTTTGTGAATAACATATAACTCTTTGATTATAGAAAGATGGTTTTAGAAGATTTGTCTTAGAGGCAGAGTGGGAAGTTAAGGGCCTTTTATAATGTTCAAAAAATGTCAAGGAAAAATGTTGAGAAGAAAAGAATTAAATAAAATTACAAATTATTTACAATCCTCCCACCTTACCTTCTGAAGAAGGTGGAAATTGTACCATCTCTCTAAGACTCTTTTGAGGGGGTGTGGAGGCTCAGCACATTTAGAGATGCATATTGCAGATGCCCAGGGAGGGTTAAGCTGCTTTTACGCAAGAAAAAGATAGTGAGATAGAAACATCTAGAGTGGAAGACTTAGAATGAGTTACCTGGAGGAGTACAGCAAGATGTGGAGAAGGTGTGGGAGAGGAAGCAGGAAGACAAGATGGAAGGTGACAGAAATGGAACATCTGCTGTAGGGAGAGAAACACTGAAGAAAGAGACGGATAAAGGGAATATTTAGGGATTTTGTTGCATGATATGCCATATAAGAGTCCCTTCCACCCCAACCCCCATCTCCTTCCAAATCTTTACTAAAATATCTATCATTCATTGAGGTTGGCACAAATACAGAGGGAGAGAGAGAAAGAGAGAAACTAAAACCTCAAAGCAGACCTGGATAAGAGTACGGCAGGATGTCAGAAGCAGGTGCTTTTGGTTTACAGGAGTAAAGTACAAAAACCCAGAGAGAGAAACCGTAAAAATCTGTATAACTTAACCTCCAGCCAGGAAGATGTGACAAAATCATCACCTGTCTCACCATGCATAGAACACACTTTATCAGAACAAGACGGGGAAAAGCCATCCAGTGAGAAATCTCATCTCTTAGAAAGTAATTGGAATTCTCTGCTATACTCACTAAAACCCTTGAGGCAGCTGACTGGTTGGTTGGTCATCTTATGTTACCAATTATCAACACGAAAATTACTAAATTGCAATTTAGCCAATGAGTCGTCAGTGGTTTAGGCAGCTGCCACATTCGACTCCAGTCTTCAACTCACTGTAGTTTCATGGGGAGGAATTTCTACTTGCTTCAACAACGCTTCAGCTATCAGAACTACCTTCGCCATCTGACAATACAAGACACCCCCAGTTTTAAAAACCCAATGTACAGAAAAGCAGTTCTGTATGTCATTTGTAGTAGAAAGATAGTACATCGTGTAACCCAAATGCTATTTACACGGCTGTCAGGACAAGTGCGCTTTTTTAAGGCCCGATTGCTTGACCTGCCAAAACCTCACCTGATGCCTGCAATGCCCACTGAAATGTCCTTAATATCATTTGCTGTAATTTAAAGTACTAAGTCAAAAGGAATGAGAATATTTTTGAAGTCCTTATAACTCATCAAATAACCTGTTTGGAAATATAGTCACAAATATTTGTCCCACCACTCAGAAGGAATCATACTACAGATAAGAGAACTCAGAAAAAGCAAATAAAACAAACCTACCAAATTGCCACTAAAGTAAAACATATTAGAAACAAATACAAATCCAGCAGAAAAATCCTTCTAGAGGACAGGGATCTGAACACAATACACATATTTATTTACTTTACTTATTTATGATCTACTTCCAAAAACTGTGTCAAGAAACTTATAATAGGAATCATATATACCCCAAAAAACTATTGTGTAGAAAAGGAGAAAAATTAATGTACTAAATATATAAGGTATTGTTAAACAACTCTATTGAACATTACATATGTTACTGGTAGCAAAGGCAAAAGAGAATAAGATGGCTTACAAGTTACTTATCTCCTAATATTAAAAAAAAAAGATTAAATAAATACAAGTATAAATCTTTACAGAAATAATATAAGTTCCTCAGGAGGGGAGAACATTGTTTTGTATAAAATTCTAAAAGATATTGACCTCACAGACTTCATATAGAGGGCATAAAACAACATATCTTCAGCATCTTTCTTATTGGACCCATAACTAAGAAGAGATTGTGTCTATCAGAATACTCACTACTGTCCAGGCATAAAACAAATAACTGAAATATTTATAACTCCCAAACTTCAATTTTGGCAATTATACCAAGTATTCCTTTTGCAACAATGTGAATTGCTCACTGATTTTGAAAATCACCGATTTCAGTTCTCCCACCCAGTTTTCTGTACCTTTTCATAGAGGGATCCCAGTAAGTAGTGACATGTCTCACAAACTTGGGGGCAAGGTGGTGAAAGCAGCAACACCAAGCAACAGCAATGATGCCCGGAATCCAGGTATTGCAAAACTAATATTCATGCCTATAAAGTAAAGTTTAAAAAAAAATGAGTCTAACATACTTAAAGGAACTTCTAATCCTAGAAAAATCAATATTATCCAAATAATGGAATCAAAGTGTTAGAACTGATTTTCTAGGTGGGGGGAGCAAGTGTTCATTATCTTTTGTCATGGAAGTTCGTTTGATAGAGCATGAACCATGAACACCTTTCATCTTTACCACGTCTCTACTCAGACACTGCTTAATTAGGTTAATAGAACCATTTAAGGTTTTGATAGTCTTTTAATTCACCTGTGCAAACAGGGACAGTTGGAATTCAATTTTGGAAACAATGATACAAGCCATTTGAAAAAGCTTTTTCTTTAATCTCCCTGAACACATTTTTGGCATCTTATTAACATTTTCCAAATTGAATGAATCTGTCTCTTTGTGTTAGCAGATAACTTAAGAATAGGGATAGGCCAGCAGTCATTAGCAATTTATCGTGCTTGCTGATAAATGGGAACCTGAGCTGCCCAGAACATTAAGTTATAAGGGCAGCAGAGACTGCAGAGTCAATGATGCAGACTGAATGGTATCACGGCACACTCCGCTTCCTCCAAGTGCATCAGCTGGCGAGGACTATCTTTCCAATCACTCAACTCTGCAAAAGTTAGCAACCACGTGCATTTTTTCCCAGACAGCTCTGCTGAGCCACCATGCCTCAACATGGCTGTAGGCTTAAATCACCCAATAATAATAATAATAATAATAAGGAAGGAAAAATAGCTATTAAAAACAACAAAGGAAAGAAACAAGAGAGGAAACACTTTCTCACACACATATAAAATGCATTCAGGTGTCACAAATAAGTCAGAATATACTGGACATTTGCCGGGCGCAGTGGCTCACACCTGTAATCCCAGCACTTTGGGAGGCTGAGGTGGGTGGATCACCTGAAGTCAGAAGTTCGAGACCAGCCAGACCAATATGCTGAAACCCCTTCTCTACTAAAAACACAAAAATAGCCAGGCATAGTGGCAGGTGCCTGTAGTCCCAGCTAATCAGGAGGCTGAGACGGGAGAATTGGTTGAACCCAGGAGGTGGAGGTTGCAGTGAGCCAAAATCACGGCACTGCACTCCAGCCTGAGTGACAGAGCAAGACTCCATCTCAAAAAAAAAAAAAAAATATATATATATATATATATAGGATATTGGACATTTACTGATTAGAAAGAGCCTTACTGTGACTGTCCTGTCTCTCCAACTTCACCTTACAGCTCCCTTCCCACTGGTCCCTGTGCTCTGGCCACACTGGGCTTCCCTCTGTTTCTCCAACATGCCAGCCTCACTCTGCACAGGGTCTTTGCACCCACTGTTCCTCTGCATGGAACATTACCCCTGCAGAGCTTCAAACAGTGTCTCCTTCTCACTATTCCAGTCTCAGGTCAAATGTCCCTTTTCGGATAAATCTAGGCCTGATCCCATCTCTCACACTAATAACTTCATTTTAACTACCTTATTTTCAAAGAAAGTCACATTCTGAGGTACTAGAGATAAAGACTTCAACATATGAACTGGAGAGGACATATTCCAACCTATAACATCAGCCCTTACGCACTTTGAAGTCAAGAATGCATATTTTTTTGTTATTGTATTTTCGACATTTAGCATAATGCAAGACTTTAAGTTCAATGATTAATAAGGCTCTGTCCTAAGGGCCAATCATCGGTTAAATAAGATCCTATGCTTTGATATCAATTGTCAGAGCTTAGGTGCCCGGTAAAAGTTGAAACTTTTCAGAACGTGAAATTTACCCATAGCCTTGTTCTAAAGGACATTGATTATTCCAGCAAAGCTGGGAAGGTTCAGTTATAACATCCAAAAGCAAAACTTAGAATTCACAGAAGTGTAACAAGGATAGTAATTAAAACACCTGACATTTCAAGGCAGTTTTCTTATATGTTATCACATCATGTTCTCAAATCTTGCCTTCATTCATCAAATAATTATCAAGCACGTATTGTTATCCAGGTGTGATATTAAACACAGATATAGCCCTGAAGAAACTTCTGTCTCCTCCCTCTAGGAGGTAATAGTCAGGGTATGTGGCAAACCAGTCAAGAAGCAACGTCAGGCCTGTGCAAAGCCAGGGCAGGTATTTTTATGCTATAAGAGAGATGAATACACCTACATCATGTGCTCCTCTGATGACCAGCGTAGGGTTCCTGCATCATCCATCCTCTCTACAAATAAGGAAACCACCAAGGGGCAAAAACAGTGACTCTTTAAACATAACAAGTGCATTATGTTACCAGAGTAAAACTGAGCTCTTACCTCCCACGAGGTAACTCTCTCCACTCAATGTGACCGTGCCAATTACAAGGAGGGAAGAAGGAGCTTTCCCCCTACTAGCAACAGCAGCACAGCTCCTGTCACTCACTGACAGCAGTAGCAGTGGTTCCATACCAAAATAATACCTATCTAGAATGGAAGTTTCTTAGAGGAACAATCAAAAATTATAGTACAATAATTTTTCTGTAAGTTTTTTTTTTTTAAACTTTTAAGTTCAGGGGCACAAGGGCAGGTTTGTTACATAGGTAAACTTGTGTTAGGGGAGTTTGTTGTACAGGTTATTTCATCACACAGGTATTAAGCCTACTACCCATTAGTTATTTTTCCTGATCCTCTGCCTTCTCCCACCCTCTATCCTCTGAAAGGCTCCGGTGAGTGTTGTTCCCTTCTGTGTCCATGTGTTCTCATTGTTTAGCTCCTGCTTATAAGTGAGAACATGTGGCATTTGGTTTTCTGTTCTTGTGTGAGTTAGCAAAGGATAATGGCCTCCAGCTCCATCCGTGACCCTGCAAAGGACATGATCTTATTCCTTTTTATGGCTGCATAGTATTCCATGGTGTATATGCACCACATTTTCTTTATCCAGTCTATCATTGATGGGCGATTTTTCTATACGTCTTTATGCAGCAACCTATCTAGAATACTAAGAAGTGGGATGTAAGTTTTCTTTAACAGCTTTTATGGGTATCAAAACACCAGTGAACTGAAAATTAGTTCATAGGACAGCCCCTACAAATTCCCCTCAAAACCAATTCAGTCGTTTCACACACCACTCTAACAAAATTTGTGTAACATTTACAAACTATAACTTAACTCAGAGCAGTTAACAGAAAAGATGCTATAAAAAATAATAATTTCAAAACAACCTGAGCTTGTTTTTTAATTGAAGAGAATGCATAGCCCTCAGGAATGCTTTGTGAAATCCCCTTTCCTCTCCTATCAACTTCTCTTACATACCACAGATGTCTCCAGAATTCACTCTCTCTTCACAAGTTTTATTAAAAAGCAAAACAAAACAAACAAACAAAACACTGCTTTTATCCCAGCTCATAGTTATGAAGGGAATCAAGAGATGAAAAGTTAGAAGCATGCCTTCCAAATATACAAATATTTATAGAGCACCTGCTTTGATGACTGGGCTCACTGATCCGCAAGGTTTCATCAGCTAGTAGCTGATAAAAGTCATGTGTACCAACAGGCATGGTTCATGACAGAGGGGTGAAAACTAAGTGAGGAACCGTGTGTCATGCCTAAACTAAAGGAATTTTTAGCCTTCTAAATAGCTGTACCTTTCAGCTGTTTGAGAAAATTGCTTATCACCAAATGATAAAAACAACAACAAATTTCCATTTGTTCCAATCAATGTAAGGGATTTCACTCAACCAAAATATACTTCTAATACAGGAGTTATCGAGTTATCTACCAAAATTGTGAGACATAACTGTTATTACCAATTCCTCCTGAAAATCTGTTCATTTAAATGCCTGTAGCCGAGGTGGCATGCATTCACTGGCTCTAACTACTACCGTACATAACCTGCAATCAGAGATAATGAATGGGATCCACTAAAAACTTGAAACAATGGAAGCCTGTCCTCAACTCCTGGCAACAAAAGAATGATAGATGGAAGTTCAGAAGAGGTTCAGTGGGGATAAAGTGGGCAGTGACAAATTGTTGGTGGAACTGGTGGTTTCTTGAAACAAAGCTGCATTAAATGTGATCACATTGTGGAAAACACTTGGTTTAAAAAATAAATTGAGCTGGTGGCACCTTTGTGTCTGACACAGAATACGTTGTAGGTATGGATCAGAATTCAGATCAGGTAAGTTTCAGAACTATTTTGACCAACTAATGTTTTCAATGATTTAACAAAAATTATTTTTCCAAAGCATACACTCTGTTAGGCTCATTTACACAAAGTGTATGTTTAAATAAAGTGACTGTGGAAGGTGCACCAGTTATTTATTGCTGCATAACAAACTCTCCCCAACTTAGTGCCTTAAAATAATTTATTATTTTATTTTCATGGTTCTGAGGATTGACTGGGCTCAGCTGGGCACTTCTTGTTTGGGGTCCGTATTAATCACAGACTTGCAAAGGAACAGATCAAAGATATATATGATTAATTAAAGACCATGATTAATCTTAATAAGATTCATCTTGCAATAAGATCTTGCAGTAAGATTGCAATATATAAGATAATATAATCTTGCAATAAGATTGCAATATATAAGATATATAGTGTATATACATGTATAGCATATATATTTACATATACATCCTATTGGTCTTTGTCTCTTCCTTTGCAGTTGCAGTTACAGCAACCACAGAAAGCGAATACACTTACCAATTAGAAGAAATAATCCCCAGACAAAATTAGTCAGAGCTCAGAACTAAGAGATCAGAATATATATATGTAAAGAAAGAGAGATTTTTTTAGGAATTGGCTCATGCAATTGTGGAGGCTTGGTAAATCCAAAATCTGAACAGCAGGCAGGCAGGCTGGAGACTCAGGGAAGAGTTGCAGTTTGCATCCATCTCCCTCAGGATACATCAATCATTTTCCTAAGGTTTTCAACTGATTGGATGAGGCCCACCCAGCTACATTATGAAGGGTAATCTGCTTTACTCAAAATCCATTGATTTTAATGCTAATCTTACCCAAAACAAACAAACAAACAAAACAA